AAAAAAAAACAAAAAACCGATGAGGTATATAGAGGAAAAGGATCAAACCGGATATATCAAGCTGAAAAGCAAAAATAGTGGAAACTTTCCTGTTCGTTATATTTCGTAGATACGCGAGACCGGCGCCGGGAAAAAAAAGATCTTCATTATATGAGATTTATCGGCCATCTGGAAAGATGATGGCAGTGTTATTCGTTAGAATTCGTCCCCCCGATGCTTTTCCTCAATTTGTCTCTTCGCTCCTCAAGCTTATCTTGTTCCCTCTGGCGCCGGATCTGGAGAATCCGCTGTTGCAGCTCGCGCAAGGATCGTATGGGCACTTGCAAGACCGTTCTTGGCCTAAAATTGCGATTACGGCGCGTAGGACGTACCCGAAGGGGTGGGAAACCAGTGTTGTAGAAGGATGGAAATTCTTGGTTGCCACTCTTGCGATGCGTGGTCCGATGCCGAGAACGGTTGGACATCCGCCGAAGAACTGACAGTGGGCCGGCGAATACGACGCGCTTATGCGGTATACCCAAAGAGTTACTGACGTACAGATCATCGATATTCCTCGTGCTAGGAGAATCAGGCCTGGTGATACCCTCGCCATCGAGGTCAGAGTCCACAAGTCCTTCCCAAAATGGTCGAGGTAGCCAAAATGGATGTAATTTGCTGTCTATCTGTTTGCCCGCTTTGGGATTTCGTACATTTTGAGATAAAACCGGGGCAGTGTATATTTCGGCACGTCTCCGGGAGCTCAAAGCACGGCGAACTGAGCCGAGGCGATGCATTCCGCCATTGAATTTTTCGGAATTGATTTTTTCTGGAACAGCGGGTTGGCCAATTTCATCCATAGGTGTTGGAGGAATAACCTTTACGGCAGAGGGTTTTGGCGGAGGACGAGGGTTTCGGAGTGGAGAGTCAACATCAGCTATTGTGTCTTGATTAGATGTATTTGGGGTCGTCGGTCGAACAACTTTCATTTCCATATCACCTGGAGAGGTGCGCAGCTCCTGGTCAGCTCGTGATTCGGTGATAGGCTGCTGATCTACAAGCAAAAGTGACTTGTTATTATGGAAGAAAAACGGGACAGCCCTGGCTTCGTGAATCTCCACTGGGCCAGGAGATAATGACTGAATGGATGCTTGAAACGGTGTAAGAGTGAGGGACGGAGATATCATTGGGCCGTTTTCATCACATGGCTGTTGGATTGTAAGTGGAGTTAGGTTTGCAAACTGTTTGGCAGGTTCCTGGGCGGGGATTTTGATGGATACAGGATCCATAGCGCCGTGATTGCGGCGTTCAGGGGTAGAGGGTTGGGAGGTAGGAGGAAGTGCATGTCGCAAACTCTCCAACGTCAGCGAAGGTACCCTCGAGTTATTTCTACTGGTGGGTGCGGATAACGAGGACTTTCTTTGGGGAACAACTGGTCCGGACGAATAACTGCCGCAACCCACAATTTTTGAGGTCGTGGAAAGTAGAGATGAGGATAAAGTGCGTCTTGTCCGCCGAGCTATGTCAAAA